CAGACAGACAGACAGATAGATAGATAGATAGATAGATAGATAGATAGATAGATAGATAGATAGATAGATAGATTGATTGATTGATTGATTGATTGATGGATGTTCAGAAATTGTTCACAACCACAACATTTTGTTTGGGAGTACAGTATGTGGAGTGTGAGTTCCTCACTTCCTTTTCCAAACAATTGCACTCTCTCTCTCTCTGTGTGTGTGTGTGTGTGTGTGTGTGTGTGTGTGTGTGCAGAAGCAATGCAGTAAGAGTGAGCACTGAGCTGCAGCAGCATCAGTGTCTCAGTGTCAGCCGCTCTGCAGCATGCATCGGGAAACACACTTCATTCACACTTTCTGCTCCACGGGATGTGAGTTCAGGTAGGACCATGTCCTTTCTCTCCTCTCTGCTGCTCTGCCAGCCACCCGATCCCTCTCGTCAGCCGTGGGGAGCTCGAACAGGAGCCCGCTCACAGCGTCTCTGGTCTGGTCAGTTAGGATCCTGTCAGTTGTTGCATGTTTCATTTAATGTTTGAGCACTTCAACCAATTTAAAGCTGGATGTTGAGGAGTGTGGACTTCATCTTCATTTAATAACGGAGTTGTCTTTCACGGCCAAGAGAATGCAGAAAGTTTTTGCAGTCTTGAAGATGAAAGCCCTTCCTTGATGCTTTTGCCTGTGAATCGTTCAGTCTTCATGCAATCGCAGTAAAAAACCTGTTCGGTCTGACCAGGAACAATTGTAACACTTTCAATTTCTCAAAGCACAGACAAGCTATTCATCATAATATCTTTCTGCTTGAGAAAAAGAACTGTGATTTTATCACTCTGTGAGAAATTTACAATGATTACAATGATTTTGAGGTAAAAATGTGATGTTGTTTTTGGGTTGTCTAAAGTTCTGATGCGTTTGAATTTAAACTTCTGTATTGTGTATTTTATTTCTTGGTCATTGGTTAAAAGTTAATAAGAATATATGCTAAAACTGTTGCTGATAGCTGACAGATAATACTTTATCATGGCTGTGATGTGGAGGGCAATT